AAACTAAGAGAAAGTTTATATATCACAGGAGATTAGAACAGCTGTGATATAACACACGCGAGCACCATTCTAGAGGAAACCATTGTTCTCACAGTTTACCACTGAAACTCTATTATAGCCGTTTTTTTGCAGAATGGTGGCAAACATACATTGGATAATCCCTTGCTATTTGGAATGGCAATATCTCCTTGTTAAGAGCATCATGGGGCATTGCTTACACACATCTGGATTCTGCTATATAAAACTGTACAGAGTGACTGCACACAGCACAACAGGGAAGCAGAGACTGTCTCCCTGCATGGTGCGCGACACAGATATTCCTCGACTTTGACTTGATAGCCTATCTCCCAGCTCTTCCTTAGTTATTTGGAAAATCTCAGGAAGTTTGGCTGCCTATTCTTTGCATAATAAGGCCCCCCACAATCAGCAGTGGCCAAAGCACCATAATTAGCCAGCTCCAGTAGAATGAGATAGGAAGGGAAGGTGCTGTTCCAGGATGAGGGAATCTGTGGACTAGACAAACAAGGGAAAACCACTCCACATTTTCCAAGCTCCCTCAATGCAAAATATAGGTGGAGTGATTACAAGAAGATTCTTCCACTCCTACACTCTAATGGAAGTATCATTTTATTGCCCTCTTTTTTGTTGCATGGATTTCTACCATTCTAATAATTACTTTGACAGCAGCAAGTGTAAAACAGAAAGATTTATCAGTCATTTATTGACATCTGATGTGAATTAAGTTCAAACTTGTTAATGTAACAGTATGGAGATCCTGAGACTATTTAATAAGTGGAGGGACTTAATGGGGAAGAAGAACACTCAGAAGGGAGTGGGAATCTTGATGAGGTCAGTTTTTGCTGAGAGTATTTTGCAGGCTTCCTTCCTTAAGAAGGACCAAGGTAGAATCTGCCATTCCCCACTGGTGGTCACTGTGTGCAGAGGGCACCCTCAGGGAGTCTGTAGGAATGGATGCCCTATGTGCCTGTCCCAGCCCAGGAAGACTGGTCCAGGGAGCTCACTCTACTCTCCAACCTCTTGAGTTGAGAATTGGCAGCCTACTCACTACCTCAGTTCCCCAAAGAAAACCAGGTAGGAGCAGCTCAGAAGATTCCTTGGACTTTGTGCATCTGAATGAATCTGAAATATCCACAAGACCCTTGAGAGATTCTCATAAAATTACCTGAGCCAGTGCTGCCCCCAAGACCCCTAGCGAGTACTCAATACATTTCTTCCTTGGTTTGACCTAAGTCTTAGTTTGAAGTCAAAGGAAGGGATGAGGGGTCAATAACCAGTCCCCACCTTTCCCTGCCTTTTTTTTTTTTTTTATTCATATAGACCTTGGAGAATGATTCCCTGCCTTTTGTGGTGCATATTATGTGAGAAGGGTAAGTACTTGAACTTCTTGTATGACATCCTATCTTCCCACATGATTGCTTTGTGAATTTGGGTAACTCCCATTTTAAACTAGAGATATAATATTTGAAAATGTGTTTTTTATTAAAAAAATAATTGCTTTACAGTATCACAGAAAATTGGTACAGTCATTTTTGAAAACTGTCTGGCCTTATCTGTTAGCTAAACACACGCCTACCTTAAACCCAACAATTCCTCTCCTAGTTACATACTCAGCACTCTCTAGAATGTTCATGGAAGCACTATTCTTAATAGCCCCAAATTGGAAACCACTTAAATGTCCTTCAACATTAGACTGGATAGATAAGTTGTGGGATATTATTTACCCAATGGAAAACTCAAAGAGAATAAATGATCAAAAATTACATAAA